GGGGAGAAGGAAAGGCCTGCGGTGGGCCTTGCCGACAGCGTGAGCCTGCGTGCGCGTGAGCGCCTTTGTGTGCGGGAGACGGAGTGAAGCTGGCAGGGAGCATCGGAAATGATGCGCGCCGTGGGGTCCGGGTGCGACATGGTGTTTGCTGCAGGAACGGCCTCCTGGCTTTGACGTCGGACACACAGTCTCCCTTGAGGACCTCGAGCGAGCGTGCACCGTGCCGCCTGTCCCAAGTAACAATTCTCAGCCTGGTCGACGCGCCGTGAGCGCAGAGCAGGAGACAAACCAAACCAGGCTTAGTCGTTAGCAGGGCCCGGGAGGTCTTCTCTAACGCCAGCCATGTTTCTGTTTGCAGGAGAGCTCCGACACATTACCAAGCTGAAACCCTGGAGTCTTTTCGATGTGCTCGTGGAGAAGTACGGCTGGCCTCACGAAGATGCTGCACAGTTTACAGATTTCCTGATCCCCATGCTAGAAATGGTCCCAGAAAAACGTGCTTCAGCTGGAGAATGCCTTAGGCACCCGTGGCTGAATTCTTAGCAGAATCTCCCAGCTGTTTAAAAAAAAAAGCCAGCAACCACTTCTTTCCAGTGCATCGGACCTAACTGGTGACTGTCACAAATTCTTTAGCAGGATCACACGCGAGCTGGCTTCACTCCTCAGACCTTTGTTTTGCTTGAGGTACTGTTTGACATTTTGCTTTTCGTGCACTGTGTTCTTGGGGAAGGGTAGTCTTTTCGTCTTCAGCTAGTAGTTTACTCACCCACTTTCTTCAGAAAACACTTAACGTGTCTTTAAGCATTGTTTCTTGTGTTGTGTGGCATTCAGATGTCAGGTTTTTGAACAAAGGAAACTTCCCCCCATGTGTTTTGGCAAGTTTTGTAACTATTTATGAAAAAAAAAATATTTTAGCTGATGCATATTATATAATTTACGAGCGTAAGAAATTTATCAAGTCAGAACTGAGTTACGGCGAGGAATTGTACAATTTTATCTTCTGGCAAAGGGACGTCATTCTTGTATTATAGTGTATGTAAATGCACCCTGTAAATGTTTATTTCCATTTAAATATGGGACTGGGGACTCAATTTCAGAGTAAAGCAACGAAGTCTTAGGGAGCTTTATAGCAAACCAGTTGCATGTAGTGGACTTCCAACTGCTTTAAGGAATTGTGCAAACTTTCTATTCTGTAGCAGTTCCCGTTCATTGGATTTTAAACAAAGTGGCTCTGGTTTACAGGAGTTCATTCCCCAAACAGCACTTTAAGGGAAGGCTAGGCTTCTTTCTAATAAAGTATGCATTAGCATTTAGCAGTCCCTTTTAGAACTTTTGCCTATTTTAAGTGCTTTTAAGAAAAGAAAAATAGCAATTTCCCTTACAATGTGATAGTGAAGACATGGTACCATATGGTGTTGCCTTTTTATAAGCACTGTAAGTTGTACTACCTTAAGAAAAAAAAATTAAAAGTCGAGCATGAGAACCACTCTGTGTAGAATTACTGATCTTTTATAATAAAAGTGTGCGCTTGGCCTCAGTTAAGGAAGGATGGAGCTGCAGACAGTCACAGTGCAGTGGGTAAAGTAATCCCGGAAGCAGGATCGTGCTCATTCCATTCATAGCTTTACATGTTCCTACCACAAATTGCACTAGCTTTATTTTTGCCCCATGACCAGACATACGAGTACCCGCTGTAGGCTGCACGCAACAATTACGTGTTTCCTAGGAAAATAAAAAGCTGCATAGGCTGAAGCTTATAGGCAATACAGATTTTAGAATGTACAGTACGGAGGTGTGCTTTGGCCTCTTTTAGAAGTCAGTGGGATGAATGTAAGCTTACTTCTGATCTTCATGTAACTACGGTGCCACTTCTTGACTTTGTCCATATGGAATCTATCCACATGCCTTTGCAATAACTAGATTGTGAGAAGATAGCCCCACGCTGTAACAATAACCCGTTGTTTGAGGTGCTTGCAGTTGTCTAATTAAAGTGTTTTGTTTTTTCAGACAGTGTGCTGGTCATTGGAATCTTTGCTAGCCCTGACTCCAAACGTGTGGAGGTCCGTGTCGCGCTGGGTGGGGGGGTCCGTGTGTTCTAGATTGGCCAGCGTGAAGAGCAGCTCTGTACGGATTTCTGCAGTACATCACCTGGTGGGAAAGGGGGAGGATCCCGAAGGGTACGGTGGCACTGGGGGCTGTGTGGGAGCAGGGGCTAGGCAAGACGTGACAAAACCAAGAGAGCACTTCAGACCAGGTGTGACTGCTCTGAACAAGAAAAGGATGACCCTGTCCCCCGTGCACTGGTGCAGCCACTCCTCCAAGGAGGAACTGGAGAGCCACCACGGCGCACAAGGCGCTCGCCCATGCGCCCATGCC